AGTTCTTTAATATCAATGTAGATGGATGATCAACAAAGGCAAGGAAGAGAAATCCCTGAAGCAATTTGTTTTAAAAGTATCAACGAAAGTTGATACCTTTTATTTGGGTAGTCAAAACGAGTTTGAACTGGTGGACTAAGTTTTATAACTCACCTAACCTGTCAACTCGTCGAATTGAGTTTTTTGATTTTTTTTTTTTTAATGCAAAACAGGTTTGCCCAAGTTTTTTAATCTATTATAAAAAAATGGATAGAACTTGCTAGCTTGTTTTTTGGCATGTTAATGGCAGGACAAAATGGCTCCTCCGCTTTCATCATTTATGAAAGTATTACCTAAAATAAAATGTTATCAATTATTAAGTAACATTTGATATCAGAACATAATAGGACATTAATTCTATTTTGTGTTTTATGTATTGAAAAAATAAAAAAATAGGACAAGGAAATAAAAGTTGAAGTATTTTGTTCAAAAAATGGTAAACCTAAAGACAAAGTAACAGAATAAAACCTTACATTTTATTCTATTTTTAACAAGAGCTACCTTAGAGATAATGTGTAGATAATTTTTTTTCTCAAGACCCTAATTATCTTTTAGGGACAAGTTTGTTTGTTTGTTTTTTTTTCGTATTCCCACTACTCGAGTGAAAGAAGGGGCCCACACTTAATGTTGAGTTCAGTGATGTGAGCATTATTCAATTCTGACTCCAAAAATCATCTTCATGAAGTTTCGAACCCTACTCTTTTGAAAAATTCTATGCTGGAGCTCATATTGTCTCTTGAGTCAATCCTAAGAATTGTATTGATAATTTTGACTCAAAAAGTCATTTTCATGAAGTTTCGAACCCTACTCTTTTGAAAAATCCTGCCCGAGCTCATATTGCATCTTGAGTCAATCCTAAGAATTGTATTGATAATTTTAACTCTCTTATTATTTGTGCTTTTTTTTTACTCTACCTATTTATAAACAACTTAACTTATTGCGAGAAACTTTTCTAAAATTATTTTTTTCATGTTCAAGATTTGAACTCAAAGTTTCTTATTAAAGATAATAAAATCCTTACTTGAATAAGTTATAAATAGTAATACTTAGCTTAAGATACATATGAGGATTGTTCTTATTTTATATCATGTCCCCTCGATGTAAATAAAGCTGACGAACTCTCGCTCTCTGGTGAGAGAGCAGAGTCCAGATGCAGTGGAGTAGGGGGCAGCGCCCATATACTCATAAAGTCATAGTATTGTTGTGGTATTTGGATTATTTCATAATATTATTTTATTTAATCATTTGAATTTAAGCCCATGAATAATTATTACGACTTAGATGTATTTAAGCAAATTTATATTATCTTATAACTGAATTTATTATAATGAATATTGTGACAAGAATATAATTATAGATTTATGGAATGTAATCCTACATTGAGATGAATCGGAATAAATTGTGTATAATTCTTTTTCTTTCCATCTTCTATTTTTATTTTTTTTTATGATTGTGTGTGATTGAGCTTATTGTGAATTTTTTTTCTTGACACAGCATTCACGCATTTCTGTTATTGAATCGTAGCTTTTTACAAAATATTCATAAACATTGATTTTAGCGAATATGTGAAACATGTACACTCTATAATCAATAAGCCATTGCATCTACTTTTCTCATTACCCTCCTTTAGTACTCATCATGGACAAAATCTCAAAATGTTCCGATCATATTATTATGAAATATGTAAAGTTAAAAGAAGGAAAATTTACGGATTACCACATACAATCAATCAGAATAATCATTCAGAAATTGAGCATAACGGACAATTTATTGCCTTGTAAAATAAGAACTCAACAGTTTACCAAAAAATAAAAATAAAAATAAGAATTCAATATCAATTTTAGATGGAAAAGTAATTATCACTCTTTTCATAGCAAGAATTCAATATTTCTAGTATTAGTCAATTGAGTTTTGCCTTGTTGACGATCAGAGAGTCATTTGCTAAAAAGGAAAACCATATGAATTATTTAAAGAAAATCCAGAATCATCAGGTAAAGAAAAGAAAAAGAAAACATTTTTTTAATGGATTGAGCTGTCCTAGGTTTACATGCGAGGCTCAAATCATTGATCATGTATGTTATTATAGAATATATAAATTCCACAAAATGCAACAATAATACTAGTGGTCCAAAATAAAACAATGAAACAGAAAAAACAAAAAGGGCAGAGTCCTAAAACTGAGGCTTATCTAGAGGGACATATGATATGGAGAAGAGCCCTTGGGTTGTGGGACCCAAAATCCAGGAATGCCACGTGGAGACAGGCTAGCTTTACAGGGTGACATGGCAAACGGGGGGGGGGGGGGTAAGGAGGAGACGGCAATAGCAGTGCCCCAGATGGCAGGAACTGTACCAATTTTATAATGGGTGGTGGGGCCAATGGAAAGGGAAGTTAGAGAGCCTTTAAGATAAAACCTATCTGGCAATCTATCCAAATTCATGTGCATTCATTAATCAATATATGGGTGAAATAAAAAGCAAAGCAAAGTGAACCCTCCAAAAGAAAAAGCATGATTCTTGTGGCTTATGATACAAGAGTCTCTTTCTCATCCCCCATAAATATGCTCCTTCATTATTACAAATTCCTCCTCACTCCCTTTCCTTTATTACCTCTTCACCCTCACTCCGTCAACTAAGTACAAATTGGCACAATGTTTATTTATTCTCAAATAATAAAATAGAATTAATATTTTTGAAATTGTGATAAATTTTTAATTTTTTTATTTTCAGTAAAAATATTCATAAATTTTAAATTAAATTCAATATTATATTGCACGGATTGCTAACTAATTTTTATTATTATGACTACCAATTATCGAAGTAATGGCAAACTCTGATTTTAACTTTTGTAAATATAAATTTAAAAATTTTCAAATATTAATGACATAAATCTTTACAAACAAATAATTATTTTTTACTATTTTGTAGTTTTATTGTGCTAAATGAGAATTCATCTCTAAAAAATACTTAAAGAAGTCGAGTCAAACTTTATAATTTTTGAATGACTATATAACAAGATAAAATATAGCAATATATTTTTATGTGTTACATTAAATTTTACGAGATAAATAAATCAATTTTTTTTCTCCAAGTAACACACGGATAATACACTAGTAAAAAAAAACCCACACTTCGTTGAAAAGAAAACAATAGACTTGCGAAAGTAGTTTTAAGGATTAGTTGGAAGACAAAAATATAAAAGCAGGATTTAATTCAATTGCTCATAATTCCCCTCGTGTATTAATAATATCTGTCTATTTATCAAATTATAGCCTGGCCTGCTCTCAGCGACTATGGCAACTTGAAAAGTTGGTAAATCAGAATAATGATTAATGAGTAAAGAAGATTAAGGTGTGCTTTCATGTCAAAGTAGTGTTATTAAATATAGCATCGATTCAGTCGGGATACTGAATTACTGGATCACTGGTCAGATTGATGGGTCACTGGTCGAACCAGTTGACCCAGATATATATAGATATATGAAAATATGAACATATAAATTCAATTATATTCTCCATATCTAAAATGAATTAAACAAGGTTTATTAAATAAACTCAAAAACAATAAGCATAAATAAATAAAAATGAATGCTATTACTATGTCAATTTAAATTGTAACTCAGAATCTCTATAAACATACCTCTCAATGACAATGAACTCATATTTTTTAAATTTAACTACATTAAAATGACATATGTCACATTCTCTTAATTTATTATTTCGCAAATTACTTCAGTTTTAGAAGCTAAAATTTGAGGTCATTGTATAAGAGTATACTAGCAAATAAAATTACAAAAAGTTTTAAAATGAGTTCTACATTTTTTTTGACAATATGAAACAATTTTGATTTTTTTTTTTAAAATACATGACCTGACCGGGTCATTGGGTCACCGGATCACCGGGTTTGGCCGATTTTATCTGGGTTTTGACCGGGTCGATGTATGACCGGTCCAATGCTTAACCCGAACCGATCCAATGACCGGTTCGTCGAGTTCCGGATCGACCCGGCCGAGTCGGGCCGAATTTTACAACTATGTTTCAAAGTGAATCTCGATTGTTATTTGAAAGTTAATTATTTGATGTGTTATTTAATATGATTATGTAATGTGAAAAAAATTTAATTATTAATGGATAAATTAACCGTAATAATCTTATAATATTTTTTATTTTTTATTTTCATCACCATTAATTAATTTATAAATAATTAGGATACTCTAACGTGACGTAATCATATTAAATAGCGGATCCACTTGCTTGTTATTTATTTTTTTCACCAGATTTTGTCTTAAAGTCCTATGATCACGGTCTGTTTTACTATATGGGAGGTAGATATTTGTAAGTTGTTTCATTAATTACACTCAAAGATCACATGTGGAGGTCCTATTTCTTCATTTTTCTCTTCTATTCTCAACCTTGTTGAGTAATTTGTGTTAATGATGGGTGTTACGCAAAAGAGACAGAAAAGTAAGAGTGATGACCAGCTATCCGATACAAATATAAGTCAACGTATATAAGGGTAAAATCGTAATTTGGGGATGATCAGAAAATAAACCATCGATGGAGCTTCTTACACCCTCACCCTTTGCTTACTTTTCGGGCAACTTGCTTGACTTATCTTTTCCCGGTGGTTGAACCCAAGGACCCGTGAAGGGTCACCGGATATACCCAGTCATAATTTCCGCCCACGCACTGAATCAGGTCACAAACTAGACTCTGTTTCCCCATATTATATTAAAAAAAAGTCATAAATTTTAGGGTCATAAACCTACAACAAGGCCACAACATAGTAGTGTGGTGAGATAGAGTCTCTAATCTCTATGGTGGGTTGCCAGCTATGATATAGAAGGATGACAGCTTTTGCATTAGGGTCAAAGTCGTCAATATCTCTTTCAATTTTATTTTTTTCCCCTTATATTTTAAGCAACTACCATTTCTGCGTCCACTTATATATCTATATTACATGAAATTCACAGTGCTATGATGTGCTGAGTTAAAATCCCTCATTTGTTCTCTCTAAAACTCATAACCCATTTTCTTTCTCATTCTTCCCCCCATCCCTCCCCCCTTATATATATTTCTCTTCCCTTTATTATAAGAGAAGAGAAATTATGTGCGTGCTTTAGAGTGAGGGAGAAGAAAGAAGGGAGAGAAAGGGAGTGTTTGATATTTTGATGGTCCAAGGCTGAATCTTCTGCCACAACACCACCATCCACTAACAATGACTGTCACTACTGCCTATCTCAATGCTACAGAAAAGAAACACTGGTGGCTCACCAACCGAAAGGTAATTTCTCCACACCCCCCGTTTTTAAGACATCTCTAGTTGTGGGTTTGGATCAAAATACACCATTTTCTGCAATGACTATGTTGTTTTGTTGTTGTCTCTTGTCAGTTTTCAACAACATTGCAAGAGATTTATCAAAAGATTTCGCCTTTTTATTTATTTATTTTGGGGTTTCATATCCAAATGATGGGAATCACATGTTAATATATGTCTATGTCTATGTCTCTGTCTCTGTCTGTGGTTGTAGATTGTTGAGAAATATATCAAAGACGCTCGCAGCCTCATTGCGACCCAAGAAGAGAGCGAGATCGCTTCGGCTCTGAATCTTCTAGACGCGGCTCTGGCCATCTCTCCACGGCTAGACCGAGCTCTTGAGCTGAGAGCGAGGTCTCTTATCTATCTTCGGAGGTTCAAAGACGTAGCAGATATGCTTCAGGACTACATTCCGAGCCTCAGAATGGCAAACGATGATTCGAGCTCTGTTTCTTCGGATAGCTCATCTCAACAGCTTTCAAGGGAAGGTGTGAAGCTCCTCTCATCCTCGGATTCCCCTGTTCGGGATCAGAGTTTCAAGTGCTTCTCTGTCTCTGACTTGAAGAAGAAAGTCATGGCAGGACTCTGTAAAACTTGCGACAACGAAGGGCATTGGAGGTAAAAACTGAAAAAATACAAATAATTTTTTTTGAAAAAATGAAGTGCTATTATTGCGTTTCATTGGTTTTGCAATCTGTCCCTGTCCCTGGATTTTCATTCATTTATAATCGTGGGTTTTGAGATCAGATCGGACTCCCCAGTACTTATTATATGGGGTTTGAGTAAATGCTCGTGCCAGCAATAATGTCATGTTTCCCAACCCTTACATTTAAAAGATCATATTAATTGAATGAACCATAAAAATTATAGCACGGAAAGCCAATACAAAATATAGTGTAGTTAAAAGAGTAAATAGTAAAATAGTTCTCGAATTTTAGCTATTTATCACACACCACCAGTCCTTTTTTACAATTTCTGCGTCCACAAATAATAAGATGAATAAATTAAGTGTTTTTTTTTTTTTTTTTTTTTTGGGTTACAGGTACTTGGTTTTGGGTAAAGCATGCTGCCACCTAGGCCTAATGGAGGATGCAATGGTTCTTCTACAAACAGGTAAACGCCTAGCCAGCGCCGCGTTCCGCCGCGAGAGCGTGTGTTGGTCCGACGACAGCTTCTCACTACCCAACACACCATTCTCCGGTGACGCCAACACGAACACACCACCCACCACGCCACCCGGCACCCCTCTCACCGAGTCCGAAACCGTCACACAACTCCTCGCACACATCAAGCTCCTCCTCCGGCGCCGTGCCGCCGCAATCGCCGCCCTGGACGCAGGCCTCCATTCTGAGGCCATACGCTACTTCTCAAAGATCGTTGAAGGCCGGCGCGGCGCCCCACAAGGGTTCCTCGCCGAATGCTACATTCACAGAGCCACCGCGTACCGTTCCGCAGGTCGAATTGCAGAGTCCATCGCCGATTGTAACCGGACACTAGCCCTGGACCCCACTTGCATCCAAGCTCTAGAAACCAGAGCCTCTCTTCTCGAAACCATTCGTTGCTTTGTGGATTGCTTGCACGACCTGGAACACCTGAAGCTCCTTTACAACTCCATCTTGCGCGATCGCAAGCTCGCGGGTCCTGCGTGGAAGCGCCAAAACGTGAGGTACAGAGAGATTCCTGGTAAACTCTGCACCCTCACAACAAAGATTCAAGAACTGAAACAAAGGGTTGCTTCCGGCGAGACCGGCAACGTTGACTACCATGCTTTAATCGGGTTGAGACGAGGTTGTTGTCGATCGGAATTACAGAGAGCTCATTTGTTGCTCTGTTTGAAGCACAAGCCCGACAAGGCTACCAGTTTTGTCGATCGGTGTGAACTCGCGGACGAACGCGATCTCGAGTCGGTTAAGGATAGGGCGAAGATGTCGGCGTTGTTGCTGTTTAGGTTGCTTCAAAAGGGTTACACGAACGTGATGTCTACTATCATGGATGAAGAAGCTGCTGAGAAACAGAGGAAGAAGGCTTTGCAAGCGGTTCAAGTTCAGGTGCAAGTGCAACAAACAACAGTAACAGAACCTGAATTGAATAATAATAATAATAATAAGTCGGATAAGTTGGAAATCAAGTGCACTATGTCTTCTCCTTCCACAGCCAATCCGTCTGTTTTTCAAGGTGTATTTTGCCGTGATCTTTCTGTGGTTGGGAACTTGCTTTCACAGGCGGGGTTCAACCGTTCAATTCCGATGAAGTACGAGGCTTTGAGCTGTTAATTAATTGGGGATGTTTTTTCAGGCAGAAAGAAGCTGCTCCGGTTTGTCACTTACTGTACAAAAAGGGTTAAATTTTTGGACTGCCGGAAAATTTTGTCACTTTTTTTTTTTTTTAATGTTTTACAATTTGCTATTTATTATATTCATCTACTAGATGTACAGGATATCAGTTTGAAAGTCTAATTTTGGACTTTGGACATGCCTTACTGTTTATAATCTTGCCAAGTCTTTCAAATTATTTTATTATCACCTTATATAATTACTTAAAAAGAAATTTAAATCTTTTAATGATAAGCTGACCCGGTATAAAATGTTAATATAAAATTTTTTTATGCGTTGAATGAAATTTTAAGATACTTTTGTTTCGGATGGACATATACATTTACATATTTTGTTTTGGGCAATTGACAAATAAGGCTTTCCTGCAGCAGTAGCCCGGAAGAGAAACTGTAGCTGCTGCTGTGTGCCTCGACTCTGCCCCATGTCTTGTCTTATTGCATTCAATTTTCCTTTGGTTAGTTTAGTCCATCCAATAAATTCACTTTTCTGACATTCCATTAGATTTTCGTTACATCTGTATCTACCAAAATTTTTGCTGCTTCCCAAGTGTAGCCGTCAGAGCTTATCTTACACTCCTGCTTGAGTTAAACTTAAGGGTTTAATTTTTCTTATGTTGTAGGATTGTAGGAAATAAAAAAAAGTAGAGAGAAGTTAAACGTGAGTCTCATATTTTATATTAAAAAAGAAAAGAAAAATTAATTGGCACGGAAAACGAATTTGTGTAGGAAAATGGGAGTATCTCATGTGGCATGAGAATATTATTTCCCTAAACTTAAAATAAGCTAATTCAAATCCAACATACTCTAATGATGACAAAAAAATAGTTAATCAATCAAGTCACTTGCCTTGGTGAATTAAATAAGTTAAGCTACTTAATATTTTTTCAAAAATGAAAAATAAAAATGTGGGATCCTCGTCCTGTCTGGTGGCTCTTCTTCGATTCCTGGTTGTGTTTTGGGGATTTAGTCGCACAAATGTACATATGCGTTGGTGTTTGAACTTTAAACCTGCAATGACCATACATCTGCTCCACGCTTATTGATTTTATATGGGTGAGGGTCTCTTTAGTATGGATATTTTTCGGTGGAAAGAAAATGAAAAGAGAGACTTGTGGAGGAGGTTTAGGGATAAAAGAGAAGAAGGAATAAAATAGACAAGAAAAGAAAAAAGGTGGAGCAGTCATTGTTTTTCTTGTTTTGAATCATACAGTAAAAAAATAAATAAAAAATTCCTCTTCATTATTTGTTATCATCTCTTCCTCCCGTTATTATAGTTAATTTGATTTGTTAAAAAAATAAGGAAAAAATAATAATTTTATTAATTGTTTAAATAATATAGTTATGGGGTTGTTTTTTTTTTTTTTTTTCATTTCCTTACATACTGACCCTTTTGACATGCAAATACGAAAAGAAAAAAAGAAAAGGAATGCAGTTTTCTTGTACTTAATATCGATAAAAATAAATAATAGAACCAATAAAAAGTCTCTTTTTTTTTTCCTTTTCATTCATTTAAAAATGGGAAAAGTGTATATCATTATAAAGTATGTAAAGTTGTGTCATTTTATGTAAAAGAAAAATATAGATAAAGGAGGAGAGAGAGTTGACAAAAAAATATAAAGGTGTGGGTTCCATCTCTTTGTGAGAGTGAAAGAATATAAGTTGTGTCATTTAAATGGACAAATATTTTTCTCTTTAAAAATTGACATTAATATTCGTCTTGTTCAATGTGGATGCCTCAACTAGTTAAATTGTTTTTCTTGGGTCTTTCTTTGGGAAAATAATTCGATGGTCCCTTTCTCTCTCTTCTTTCTTTCTTTCTCTCTCCTCACCTTTCTGTCTACCCGGCTCATGTGAGCCGGGATCGCTGAATAATTACTCCTTCCTCTGATGTGGTTGTTGAAGTTAGTGCTCCTCTATATGCTTCGAAAGGCGCGGTGCCCCAACGAAAACCCGACACAATTCGATATTAAATTAAAGCGGAATATACAATTAAGGTTGGATTTAGATTCTATCACATGAAAAAGTGATCATATAATCATATTATTTGATCACAACCAATTATTAATGACGAGATAAGAGAATAAAATGGTATGATTTTTAAATAAGTAATTGTGATCAAATAACATAATTATATAACCATTTTGTCCTGTAAAAGGATCCAAATCCATTAAGGGGACGTTTCGTACATGATATATTTTTTTTAGTGGAAAAAAAGATATTTAGTAATATGTTGAGAAACATTTGTTATAAAAAAATGTTTGGTAAACCAAAATTTTACCGAAAAAGTTGGATTAATTTAATAATATTATGTTTGGTTGGTGAGAAAATATTAATAAGATTATGAAGTAAAATGACAAATATACCCTTTAAATTTGAATCTTGAATATCTTCAAAGACGTCCATTTTAGCATTTGTCTCTCTGCAGACCCATTTCTTTCTATCCGAACAATTACTTCAGCTCTCTTCCTTTATTTCTTCACACACCCATTGGGCAGTCCTACAGCTCATAATAAATCCACCGCAAGATGAAAAGAAACACTACAGTAAAGGAAAACAAGCCAGAGGCAAAGAAAAAAAGAAACAAAGGAAGAATTGGTGGATCTTGGGAAGGACGCAAAGCAAGAGTACACGAAGTCGAAGAACAAGCCCCCTAACGATGTGTGATTTTGGGTTGCTGTACTGTAATGCACATGGTCTGAGATGTATTGTATGATGAGGGCAATTTTGTCTCCAAATTTAGTTGAGCGATTCTCAATAATGGGAAAGAAAAAAAACCACGGATGGAATGATATTGTGTTTAAAGAATGTGTAGTTGAAAAAAAAAAGATGAAGAAAAAACTTTGCTTGGATAATTTTTCTTTTCTCCCATATCAAACATGGAAAAGTAATTTCCCTCACCCACTTTCTCATCATTTCAAACAAATAACTCGTACCAAATACTCTCTAAGGTTAGATACAAACCGGAGATCCTATAATAATAATAATGCGGAGAAAATCATCCGTTGTCAATTAATAAGATAGATTATTTTGGTTATTATGTTACTTTTGTTTATATAATTTTTATATATCTTTATATAAACTGAAATTCAATTTAAACAATTCAATCGATCACCACTAATTAAACATTAATCCACTAATATGCTACCTCAATCGAATCAATCACCATATCAATATCTATTTTTTTTAATACATTAAAAAATTACATACACAATCTATTACATAACTATTCACATTCATCATCATTAGACTAACCTAAGTTGGTTAATCTCTATATATTTCTTTTCCGCCCAAATAGTCCGTTACAAAAAATCTTGGAAGTTTGGAGAACCAATCCATTGTTTTTAGGAAAAAATGTTTGTATATTTAAATGATATAACTTATATCATTTCACTCTTACAAAGAAGTAGGACCCACACCTTTATATTTTTTTATCTACTCTTTCTTCTTTTTTATCTATCTCTTTCTCTCATTTAAAATGATATAGTTTTATATCTTTTAAAAGGAAGTTGTTATATTTACAACCCAAATAATTTACAAACTCTTACAATTATATCTTAACCGTTGATTTTCGTCAATTAACGGTTGTCATTTATTGTGAATTAATAATTAATTAATAAATTTGATTTACGAAAATCTTAACCATTGATTGACGAAAACCAACGATTAAGATATAATTATAAAAAATTCTAAACGAAAATAATTTGTAAATATAATTTTCCTATGTTAAAATTAAAATGATAGATACTGTTTTATCCTATTCCTGCGGATGATGTCCTTGAACATGACTTTTGAGTCCATGAGGTTATTGGATGTGGCCTGTGGGTAGATAATAGTGGGGTAAACTGGTACAAACTCTTGAAGGTCATAATTATGAAGTCGTGCATTAGGGAAAAGGAGTTGTCAGTTTTTCTTACTCAGTTCTGTACACATATACAGCAAAAGTAAGGTGTCTTTGTCTAATCTACACTCAATACAAGAAAAATAAAGGGATTAGAGAGGAAATGTCAAATCAACTTTTACGTTCCCATGACGAGGTCTTTACCCATGTGCTCCGTACTGCCAATTTTGATTGAATAAGTTGCCATTTTTCACATAAAACGAAGTATTAAGGTACAAATTAAATGGATTTAGATATTCGTACGTGAAAAAATAATTATATAATTATATTATTTAATCATAATTATTTATTAATAATAAAATAAAAAGAGGAAAAATATATGATTTTAAATAAATAATTATAATCAAATAATATCATCACATAATTATTTAAATAAGAGAATTCAAATCCGAGATAAAGATGTGGGGATTTGCGAATCAGAGGAGCAGGTGATGGTGCACTGCTAAGGCCTGTCCTTGAAAGCTAGTAAAAACTGTTTACGTGTGGACAAATTTAACAGGGTACTTGGGAATCAATGAGGACTTTTATTTTAACTACCAAAGTCTAATAATGTTTTTTTCTTTTAGGCATGGCTTCTGATGCACGTAAAAGCCTGTGAGTTTCTCCTCCCATCATGTAAAAGATGCCTTATTACGTTCCTACAGTGATTCCCTGGTTTTTCTTTTGTAAGAAGGATCCAACTGTTCTGTTTGCCAGATAAAAGTTTGAATGAATTCGCATATGCTGATTTTCAAGAAAGCGACTTAAAACTTGGGATGAAATTATGCAAAGAGCCAACGACCCTTCCCTAAGCAAATAACAATAATAAGCATAAAAGAAATTCCATCTGTCAAATTAGAAAGGAACAAACTGCATGCAACTATGAGTTAATTATTTTCAAGATAGAGTAGAGGCTTTCAAAAAATTGATTGTTTTGTTTTTTATTTTTAAAAATGACAAATAAAATCAACCAAACTTACTTTCTAAAATGACAAATATTTTGAAATGAATGAAGTATGATAGTTAGTGGTGACAACTTTCAACGCAACTTGAATACTATACAGATTTTTATTTTTTATTTTTTTTACTAATATTAATATATATAGGGTTTGTGTCGAAAAAAAATCGTATAATGTTCACGTTGGGGGTCTTATTTGCATATAGGGTTTAAACACGAATAACTATTCGTATCACTATTTCTATAGAAGATTTACATGTTTGTTTGGAAATCATATCAATTTAAACCTGCCACGTTA